TCTCTGTATTGTACCTCTAACTAACAGACCATTCGTTATTGTATAGAGTACTGTCCATTACCCAGAGACTGTTCTTAGCATGGCGTCTCCCTGTATTATACCTGAGCTCCATCTCATTAAAAAGGTACTTTTTTTACATTAATCAAGTTGGTTTTTCATTGTTGCATTATCCAATTGCCGTGTTAATATGTCTTTGCATTTCTGCTGTGTTGTTTTAGATCTCTGTCGTTGGTCCTCGGTATCTTCCTATTGACGTGGACATTGAACACAGCCGTCATAACCACAAGTATGTACTAAACCACCCAAATACCGAGAAACCCTCAAGTTTATCAAATCCCGAAACAATTAGTCTGATCTATCTCATTGGAAAGATGGTATAAATGGTCTAAAATGTTGGAGTGTTTTCCTCGCAACTACTTGCTACTTGCTATGCAGTTATTGCATGTAACCATTGCAAGACGTTGTGTGTAGACTCTCGAACGTGCGCAAAGCTTTTTCCAGCAGCTTTTTGTGCTTACCGTGCTTGGCGCGTAACACTGTCAAATACAAAGTTTCTAGGGACCACTAGATGATTAAAGCCAAGCTACTGACATCACTGCTAATCCTAGATTCGATCTTTGATGAAAAGATGTCTTAATCAAACCTGGGTCACTTTCCACGGTATTTGCCGGCCTAAACTACATCTAAAAACACTGAAGTTGTGTCTTGCAATAAAAAAAAATTATTTTCGTAACCTCCATTCTCTACCAGGACCCTCTTGTCCAAGATTAGTACTGTATTGGTCAAAAGACGAGCTGGTTATTTATCATATACTGATGACCCAAAGGTAAGGTACCCAGTTGACCATTCAGAACAAGAGGCTATACACCTGGCTTCATGATATACCCTTCTCACGCAGCAAACATGTTCATTCCCGTGAGAATTTAAGAAGCTTTCGTTTCTGCTCGTTCAAACTTATCCCGAAGTGGTTGAATGAGAGGCTAGCCGGGCAAAAACTATTGCTACGGCTCAAGAAGCCCTAACAATGTACTTATACTGTATTACAAAGGGATGTGTGTGGAATTATATATATCGTACTGAGAATATCTATAGTCATTTTTGTAGTTAACTTATCAATTTTTGCCTGTGAGTTCTTGCTGCTCTACTTTGTCTCTGTACGCTCTTTGGAGCCAATCCGACGAGTTTTAACCTTCTTATTCGCCTACCAATATAAATAACAATGAACGAACGAACGATGGAAGAGCGAATGAATGAACGAACAAATCAATGAATAAGTCAAAATGAATGAGGAAGTAGTGAGAGTATCTATATCTTATTCATGCAAGACGATCCTAGGTCTATATCGATAAAAAGATACATAAATGTGACAATAACTGTGTTTTGTATTGTATACAGGGATACAGGAATCTTCTGGCCAGAACATTTCCTGAACAGTCCGACAAGGTCAGTTGGAGTATTTCTATATCATCACTATACACTCGTATAGCAAACCTTGTTTTCTCAGTATCGATCTTGAAGGATTCCTTGTGTGATTGTATTATTCAGTAGAATCTTGTTTAAAGTCTTATCACACACGGTTGTCCCATCAAAAGAGTAAAGTTTCCAGCTAATTTATTCAGGTTCAAAGTACATTGAAGTACACTAACGTATTTTAGGAAAGACGTGTTTTTGTTGTTTGTATTGTTGTTGTTGTACATAAAAGTTAACAAGCGAGAAAGAGTTACAGAAGTGGGCTCTAATTATTTTTGACTGCTGTTTCATTGTTTGTTTCGTAGACCGAGGTCATTCGCTCGTTCTCATCAGAGCCTCAGATGGTTGCTCTTGCGGGGTTATTTTGCGAGAAGCTGTCTGTCTCTGATAAGGTAGGGTCCTTCGTTATGATGCTATTGAATTTGCTTGTTGTCCAACTTAGTGAAATCAAGAAGCCATGATATGAAGCTTGTCGTTGGAGTGTATTCTACTAACAACGCCCTACCCTCTTCCCTTTTATCTTCATCCCCCAAATTGATAGTTGTACAACGTAAATAAAAATATGCATGACAACTAAGAATGTCGTAGTATTTGATAGTCGTACAACGTAAATAAAAATATGCATGACAACTAAGAAT